CATGATTGTCCTGCGTCCTTTGAGAAAAGCTATCAAGATGACCCCTTGGGAGTCCCATAGGAGCTGACCTCTCTGCCTCAAATGGGATTGGTCTAGCAGATCACCTAGGAAGCCACTCTCTCGACAGGCCCCCACCCCCTTTGTTTGAAGGCACCCTGTGCTGGTGTAGTTTTGGGTGAACTTTACAGTGCCAGGATTCTCAATAGTTTGGCAGTTGAGGCCTCACGGATGAGATGACCTAACATATTGCAATCAGCTCCACATTGGGATCTGCTGTGAGCAGCTGAGCAGTTGAATGAAGACTAGAGTAGAGTGCCCACCACCCCCCCTCAGGTCCCAGACCAATGATGTGTCCTTGGGGGTGTGGCCTACTTTGCATTTAGATGGATGCTGTGGTAATGCTAGCTCACTTCTTGCTGGCTTGGATCCTACAACCTTCGGTTCTTTGGTCTTGAGCTGATGGTCCACCATGTTGCCTGCTGGCCCTGGGAACCCTCAGAGCTACCATTTGACCTGCTGACCTTGGCTATCTGGCCAACATTGGATCCACTCGTCTCTGCCTCCGCCAGCTATCTTCCTGCTTCATCCTCCTGCTTCCTGGCTCTTCAGCCCTGGCTATAGCTGTTGTGCTATTGTGTCTAGTCTGACCCATAAAGGCCTGGTAGAACAGAGGAGAACTGGTCTCTGGGGGTTCTGAGGCTGTCAGTCTTTTTGGGAGAGGATCGCCTCCTCTTCCTCTATCTTGGAGCAACTAGTGTTTGACCTGCTGACCTTGAGGTTGGCAGCTCAAGGTTTTTTCTGGAAGCCCATCATATGTTCAATATTCTTCATCCATACCAGAATCTATATGCATTGCTTCTTCCCCGATCTTCCTTATTGAATGTCCCACTGTCCCATGCTCCTGAAGGATAGAGAGGCGGATAATGTTGCCGGCAGCCTGGCTGGAGACAATTAAAAGCGTCCACTCTGGTTGGAGATGGCCAAGAGGGCATTAAGCCACTTGCCAGGGATTTGAACTCTGCCCTGATGGAAGTGAGGAGTGATGGGAAGGCTTGAATGCAGGCACTGGGATGCTTTTGAGGACAATGATTTGTGTCCGCCAGGTGTTGGGTTCAGGGCTAGGCAGTTCTAAATCTGGACATCGTGTGTTTGGTCAAGGTCAGCGGAAAACAGAGAGACCCTCCACAAGATGGACTTACACGGTGGCTGCAACAGGGGACTTGAACACACCAGGGACGGACAGTGGGGACGGTGCAGGACCCGGCCGTGTGCTTCCCTCTGCGGTGTGTAGGGTCCTTACGAGTTGGGACAGACTCCACAGCACACCACATAGCTTAACCTTGCTTGCAAGTGGACGGCAAACCGGAGCCTGGTAAGCAGGGGAGAAATGGAATCAGATTCACTACCAACACCCACGGGAGCTTTT